GCCCAGTCTTCTCTACGGCTCAGGACTCCTTCCAAGAATTCTTTATAGGCCAAATAAGTACTTCACATGGTCTTATCGTCACAGGGTTTCACATTCAAAAGCTCCTGTAGGTTACAGAGATAATTAATTAAATTAATTACTACCAGCTATAATCGAACTGTTGACCTTGTCTGTGGAGGATTAGGCACCTAGACCACTAGGTTATGGGACCCTAACCCTCACTTACCTTTTTAAATGCAACTTAGTGTAAAATTTTACCAGTCTAGAAGACTCATACAAAGCCTAATAAAGTTAAAGCATGACTGCCGAATTTATAAAAAAAATAAAAATAAAAAAAAAATAATTTAATCATTTACAAATAGCAATTGTTTTTTTTTTTGAATTTGGGATTTGTCTGAGTTTTGCCAGCAAGTATAGGTAGATCCTATAATATCCTGATTTAACCTGCTTTTAGTGATTTTTCTATTATTTTTCTTCTTATTAGATACTGTGATAAAGTCTTTATCATCTATATTAGATGAAGTATTTTCTTTCTTACCTGTATCAAACTTTTGTAAGGCAAAGGTCCAAGCTGGATCCTCTATTGTTAGCTTATCTCTTGAAGCTTAATTGAGTAAAACTTGATTTTCTACTTTTTTTTTAAATGTAGAGAGATTCTATCTTATTATCAGTTTCATAGTTACTTCTTCTGTATATATTATCATTATATCAAGATTAGCTAAATTTTTAGCATTCTTCTTGGGTTTTCTTCCAGGTTTGAAACAGGATTAATGTTTTTTTCTAAAAGTTTCTTTAGTACTTCAGTTATTGTTGGTTTTTTCTGCAAAGGTAATGCAAGGGTCTTTTGTAGTGGGCTGCTTATTGATCTCTTCTCTCTTGTTTTTCTAACTTCTTTGAATTTATAATAATAATCTCAAAGTCTGAGTAATTTTTGGAGTTGTTTACATTCTCTTTTGATATGACCTTTTTGATCACAGAAGAAGTAAATTTTCAGAGCTGATTTCTATTCTGTAGTGATCTTGTTGTCACCAACCTGAGTGAAACATAAAATTTTACTCTCTAGGTTTGGGTTATCTGTGTTTTCAAAATGATAATCCATTAGTCTGTTAAATAAAGAGTATTTTCAATCAGAAGAGGTTTAATAGAGAAGATATCACTTGTGTCTTTAAAAGCCTCTTGAATAAGGTCAGAGATTTGGTTTTTGTTACCTAGTGACACATTTCTAATTTTAACTAGTAAGAAGGATTTGTGAGATGTAGCTATAGTAGGTTTTACCTAAAATTACCACCCTGCTACTAGCATATTTTTTGAGTAAGTTTTGATTTGTTAAAATAAGAACATGTGTTTTTTAAGATGTTGCTTAGCAGCAATGACTTTGTCTTCAACATTTTCAAAAAGTGAGAATATTATTTTATTAAAAGAGCAATGAATTCTTGAGATATTAATAATCAAAGCATTATTGTTCTTGGATTTAATTTGCTCTCTTAAAAAGAATGTTGAAAAAATAAATTGGTCTTTTTTTAGCTTTGAAAAGAGATTAGACTACTGTTTAAATAAGGCTTTATCCCAAGTAGCTTCTTGTTTTAGTTTATTAATTAGAATATATACATATGGGTTCACAGAGAATTTGAAGCTTTTAGGTAGTGTTTTCATGTGACTTGATGATTCAGAACTTTTTGAACCTTTTTAGATATATGTGTCACTTTGTTGTTTTGTTTACCCAGTTTAGTTTTTTGTAAAGACATGTTTGAGATACAATATTATCCCAAATTTTCTTTTTAGTAGTTAGCTTGTGTTTCTTTGTATCTTTAGTAGGGTTTGTAAGCAAAATGCTTGAGTTTGGTTCAGGTTCTGTGTGTTAAAGACTGGAAGAGTCTTTAACCTTGACTTCTTTGTTAAGAGAATCCATTATTTTGTATTTTTTATTTGGTTGTTCTTGAAGTAAAGCTTTTGTAGCCTTTCTTTTTGCTGGAACAAGGGCTTTAGCTCTTGTTATTGTTGAGCTATTTGAGTTTTTACTTCTAGATATATTGGGTATTTTGTCCATTTAGAGGGCTTCTATAAATTACGTAATTTTTATTTATTATAAAATTTTCTAATCTATTATACACCTACCCATATCTAATACATATTAGTAACTACAATTAATAAAATTAAGAAATTATACCTATCTATTTCTAAAAAATAATAACTCTACAATAAGCATTTATTTAAATAACTAACTATTAGATATCTGGATCTGAATTTATTTGGATATTCATTTCTATTCATTTACTATTAGTATCCAAATATCTGTCAGATTATCTAAATATCTGAGTAATTTGAATTATTTTGATAATTAGATATGAATGATAGATTTATCCAAATTGGAACATACTATCAAAAGATGTTAACTGAAGTCTAGCCCATCTTATATATCAAAAGAGACTACATCTTGTTGATCTAATATCCAATCAGTTTAACTTTTTAACATCATAAAGATTAATTTAGTATATAATGTAAACTAAAATCATGGCTTCAAGTTTTCATTATATATCATTTCTAATCAGAATGAAATATCTTCAGTAATTAATATATTTATAAAAGATGTAATTTATTAAATCACATTTATCTGATCTGCATATATGAGATTAAAGCTGTTTTTTTTTTTATTGAACCCTCCTGAGAAGATGCTAGATAGTGTATGTATTTATAAAAGAGGTAATTCATTAAATTACATTTATCTGATCTGCATATATGAGATTAGAGCTGTTTTTTTTTTTATTGAACCCTCCTGAGAAGATGCTAGATGGTGTACTTTAATTAGAGCCAGTTTTAAAAATTTTATGTTCTCATAAGCATACTTTTAGATTTGAGAGCATTTGAATTCTTTAAATTAGGAATCAAAAGGTTTTGATTATTCAAAATGAATATAAAAAACCAGAAGGTTAGAACAAAAACTTGAATAAATATTCAATATTTCCTAAAATAAAAAATTTAAAAAAAAAGATATAATAAATTTAATGTTGAGAACATATTTGTTTTTATAAGAACATAGATCTCAAAAAAATTTTCAACACTGATTAGTTAGAGCTATAGACCAGGATGAAAAAACCTATTCATTTTCAACTATTCAAACATTCTTTAATTCAAATTATTTCTATTATATTGTTGACAATAGGCTGCATGGCCAAAAAATAAATAGCTATTTTTTGATAACTCTAAAAAGCTTTTTGCATTAAAACCACACATAAATCAATTGCTATTTAAGGTTAATGCAAGAATCTAATTTTAGTCATGTAAAGTTTAGAAACCTGATATAATCACTTGAGATACTTTGGGTATAATTAGCAGAGGTCTCTTTCAATTTTTAATAGCTGCCTAGTATATTGGAGGTGTATCAAGTATACCAGATTTGTATTATAAGAATATCTTTCTGCGTTGTGAATACAAAAGCAAAATTTTCTATTATATGATCTAATATAAAATTTATTTTTGTATCACAATATAGAAAGATGCTCTCCTGATACAAATATGGATTATATTTGATGCACCCCAAATACACTAGACAGCTGTTAAAAATTGAAAAAAATCTCTGCTGGCGTAATTTAGACATGACAAAAGTATCAGAATTATACTACAAAAAACCATATTCTTCAATCCATATACCTGTTATTTTCAAACACCATTTATAAATGTATACATAATTATCTTATATATAATAATTGTTAATTTTGTAATGTACTTTTGGAAGTACATATATACAAAGCTATCAACAAATTGGTAATAAAATAAGTTTCCAATTTGTAAATATTAAATAAAACATAAAACTTATCAATCTATAAAGTGTACACATCTTTTAATATATAAATATTCATCTTTATAAGTTGTTGGACTTAGGATATATACCACAAAACTGTTGCTATTACTATAAAACTTCAATTCCTATTCTTTGGCAAGATCCACTTTCATTCAAATGAAAGCATTTATTCATTTCTAATTATTTTTTTTTTTGTTGAAGCCAAAAATTCAGTTTAAAAATTAAACTAAATTTTGATCTTATTCTTTGGCAAGATCCATTTTTGTTCAAATGGCATATAAGCAAATGCAAACCTTTTTAAGTACCCATGTTATAATAAAAAATATATATTTAAAAATCCTATAAATCTTTATGAGAAGTTTTGCAATATATATGTATACAAGTTAGCAGTATCAATAGGCAATCCATCTCCAAATGCCCAAACTGTATTTGCTAATGCTGGAAGCAAGTACAAAGAAAAGAAAAAAAAGACCTTGAACAAATTATAAACACTTACCATGAAGTTTACTTACCCTGACTTTGGGTGTCTATTGGCTCATTGAATAGTAGAATATTACCATTTTGCTAGATATCACATGTTTCACACATATATTTATCTAGATTTCGATAACCGACACCACGGCTCTACTTATATACTTGGAGTTAGGACTAACTATTGAACCCCTGCGATTATCTACTTTCACCTTTATTTAGATTCACATTCACAATAATCTAGTACCTGCATTTGAACCGTCTTCTTACTCGGATTCTTTATTAGTTTCTCTCTTACTTCTAGCCAGCAACTCGAAAAGGTTGGTCTGCCTAGGCTTTAAGTGTCTGAAAGATGCTCTCCTCTTGATACATACTTTTAAAGCTTATGTCTTTTTTCTTCAGTGTGACAACTAGGCAGTTCGGCTAATATGTCCTTTACCATTAGGACCTGGTTGCTCAGTTCTCTAATCTCAGACCCTAGTTTGAATTTAGCTCTCTTGTAGTACCATCAAAAATCACTGCTACTTCTAACTTGGAACTTTCCAAATAGGTTTTTAGTTATTTCAGTTCTTCAGATTTATTGTGCCAAAGCTCTCATTACTAGATAGTGTAACTGAAATTGCAGATTTGATTCTAGATCCAACTGATAATTGATAACTATTAACCATAACACAAGCTTATTTTTCAAAATCATTGTCTATGGGATTCGAACTCTAGACCTGCCACTTAGAGAGGATGATGACTAGACTACTATACTAAGTTGCCACATCTCCCAAATAACTTATTTTAAAATTTTAAATTAAATTAAAATTAAATAGTAACTATTTATAAACTTAAATAGTTATTTGAAATACTTAGAGCATTATATTTACCTAAGTTAAAGCAAACAAAATAAAATTAAATAATTATAAACTTAAATAGATAAAATTTTTTAGTCTTTAACTAAATTAAAGTATAAGCAAATTAATAAAATTCTTTATACTTGCATAAATTAATTGATCAAAATATAATAATTATAAATCTGAATAATTTATTTAAACATATAAATTAATATAAGTATATACTAAACTAAAGCAAGCAATAAATTAAATAGTAAATATTCATAAATATAGAGATTATTTTAAATTAATTATATACAACTTTTTTTTAAATAAAGATTTGATTCTCTTTTAAAGCAGATGATTTTGTACTAGAAAAATAAACAGTCTTGTATTATAATACAAGAAGATATATAATATATGAATATATCAAGTATATGTAAAGATATATGTATATAAATGTAAGCCCAGATTTAGTGCACTCTAGTTAATATTAATCTATGATTATACAATTTATATAATTTATATAAGGTAATCTAAATATTATCATTATATACAAATTTTTTTATTATATAGTTATAGATATAAATCTAACTAGAGATTGGAACTAGTTTTAGTTTTCATATGTTAAAACCAATTAAAACCAGTTTTAATAAATAAAAAATAAAACTGTTTCCAAACTCTAAATCTAACAAAAATCTGATTTTATTTTAGATTTCATAATAACTAATATGAAGTTTAAAGTCAGATTAAAGTAAATTAGATTTTATAATTAAAGTACAATACTATAAATCAATAGATTCAAAAACTAAATAATCGAGTTTTTGTTTGATTTTGCTGAGCACTAGAGATATATTTAGGAAGGTCTTACTATATATAATAATTGATTACAAATAATTTAAATTAATTGATTATAATCAATTAGTTTCAATTAGTATTGATTTTAATCAATTAAATCTTTATTGTATTTAATTAGCAAAAACAATTATTATCAATTAAGATCTAATGATTTTAATTAATTATAATCAGGTTTCAAAACTTTCTAATACAGTAATATAAACAACATATGTATATAGCCATCAGTTTATTAGATATAAAGATAAATATAAGACAAAATCTTAGAACCTATTCTGCCTTGGATAAAAAAACAAAATTTATATAGCTTTAACAAAAAAAAGCTTATACAAATCTCTCACTTTTTTTCTTTGTCCTTTCATGAAATGACAGCTATAATTAATTGCTATCACTATATGACCTGTGGGTAACCTGAGGGTTGACCCACAGGTGACCTGCAGGTTGACTACCCTCTTAGAGAGGAACAAAAGAGATAAAAGGGGCATAGAAGGTAAAGAGACATCGGGAAAATTAAATAAGTGCAAATTTGCAAAAATCTATATTTTTGCAGATTTTTGAATAGGGTTAGGGTTAGGGTTAGGATTTATAATGCGCAGTTTAAGATCGATTTCATCCTTATTGGGACTCCTCAGTTAGATGTAGCTCTTTGTGAAGTTGAAAAATTATTAAAGTTCAGTCTGAAAACCATCCAATTTATAACTTCGCAAACAAATACAAAGTCCTTCCTTAAAACACTTATTTTTCGTAGAAAAACTTATACAACCTACACAACCCAAACAACCCAAACAATCCACTTATTTTTAGAGAACCTATTAAAGAATTGTTGTAAAAAATTTGAAGTTTTGCACAGAATTGCATCTAATTTCTGCATTTATAGTATAAATTTTGAAGTTTTGCGCAGATTTTCATTTGATTTATTATTTAATTTTTTTGCAAATCTGCGCAGAACTGCAATAAAAAAAATTTCCCGATGGAAGTAAAGAGGGAAGGGATTTATATGGGCTCTTTTTTATTAGTTAATTTCACATGTGTGCCATTGTATAATGTTATGATTTTGTTTTGTATAAACAGTTATTCTCATCAAAATTGGCTTTGATGAAATCT